ATGCTGTCTCTGTTGTAAACCACCATATGGCTGTGCTTAATCACTACCTTGGTTAGGCAACCTCGAGTATCACTTGGTATTCTTTAGAAGAAAAGATTTTTTTAGAAATGTGAACAGACTCCCTTTGGCTGTATGTGTTCAGTATAATGTGCACAGGGCCTCACTACAAGATGCAGTTCAGGGCTGTGTGCTTTTCTTTGCTAGTTTTCAAAAAACAGGAAATATAGAATATTTTTTTAATTTGTTGTAGTAAGCATGTCCTGGTATGTGACGTAGTCTCTAAAGTGAGATCATTTTTTTTCTTTTGAGATGCAGAGGCTGTAGTCTATCATGGTTTAGAAATAGAAAGGCTTTCAGATATGTACCTGTAAGGGCAGGCGCGCTGTTGCAGATTTAGGTTACAAGCTGCAAAAACCAATTTAGCTTATCATAAATATTTGTTCTTACTAGTGCTTACTGCTAATGCACTCCTGTACTGTGACTAGAGTTATAAGTGTCCTGAAAGCATCCACATGGGTGCAGCCTATATATTAATCATATAGTGCTCTGAGCTGCCACCAGCCATGACCAGGCAGAAGTAAGCTCTGGTCTTCCATTATGCCTGTGGGTTTTTTATTAAGGCAGTTTTAGGGAAAGAATAACAAACCCCATCACGACTTAATGTATTTCACTAACATTGTAACTCTATTGATAGTAGCTATAACTGCAATGTTGTTTGTCTCTTATATACCACCCCATCCCACCCCCCTACTACCCTCCATTTCTTTATGCCTGTTAAACTGCTGGCAGCAGTCTTCTATATCAGCTCCCAGATTTCTCTGGAATGTTTTACTAATTCTTTGAACAGTTCATTAGAGGTATAAAAACCTTGTTCAGACTTTAACTATATTTCAGAATTTTTCATACTTGTGAAATAAATAAATTATGCACAATTTCAAGTGGGAAAATCAGATGAGCATATAAAGCCCACGAAATGTTGCATAGGCTGTGACACAAGTTGAATGAAAGAGTTGAGTAGAAGGGTACCAGTATGGAACTTTCTAGCTAGCAGGTATATACTCTCCTTTTTAAGATCTGATATATTCTTAATTTGAAAATTAATTTAAAGGTTAAATACAGGGATAAATGAAACAGAAGATTGTTGTTTTATGATTGAAAGACTTACACTTCAGTCTGTCTTTGAGTAACTTTGAATCTCTCTGGTCATTCTAGACCTCTGGCTGAGCTCCATGTACAACAGCCTTGGATCAGCTCTTGGGACATCTGTTAATCTATATATAGGATTCACACACTTGCACATGTAAACAGGTGATCTCCTAAATATATGAAATGTCATTGGGAACTCCAAGTACTTATTTAAGCCAAAATGAATTCAGGAGTGAAGTAATCCTTTTTGCCCTCCTCCTTGCTACAAAGATGAGCTGTATTGGGGGAAAAAAGTGCAGTATGTGCTGATTATAACTTGTGCTTAGTATGTGTGTATGTACCTTCATAAATCCCAGGAATTACTTAGTGCTTATTAAAAGTATCCTGAAAATGACCTTTTTCCTGTTGTACAGTTTAGTCCTCTGCACAGTTGCTAGTTTCTTGCTGTGAGGGGACATAATGTTTAAAAATAAAAGGTGCATATAATGGGTGGAGGAGAAGGATAGTAGATGGTAACTGATATAGAAATAAGATATATTTAGAAAATTCATAAGTGAAGCTGAATTCAGGAAGGGAATTTTAAGTCATTTGATGAAGTCTCTAGCTGCCTGGTTGAGACTAATTTCTAGTAAATCTGGCAACAGCAGGAAGACTTCAGAAGAGCAAAAGACCACAGAATCACAGAATCATCTATGTTGGAAAGGACCTTGGAGATCATCTAATCCAACCGTTCACCTAGCACTACAGCATATCCTTAAGCTCTAAATCGACCAGTAACATTTTGCATCACTACTGAAAAAGGGTGCATGAGTAAAGAGTGGCTAGTCTGGTATCAGTTCCAAGAAAAAAAAGCTATGGAAAAATCTGATAAATAATTTAGATGGTATAAGAATAGCAGTATAATCACGCTATTCAGCTTTTCAATTTGTGAAAAAAAGGTCTGCTCAAATGTGATTTTGTTGTTTGGATACATGAAATTTGGTTGCTAGTGGTTTTGTCTTTTTGACTTTTATAACATCTTTAACTTAGTAGTGTGGTATATTTTGGTTTAAAAAAGTATTTGAATCTAATGAAGTACTGCTTACATGGATTAAGAACTGACTGTAATCAATGAAAGTAGAAAAGCATTTCTAGTTGGGATCAGCCCAGTGTGGTCTGGAAGCAAATGCAAGATGGTAATGGTGTGGATGGAACAAAGATTAGTGGAGGAATAAATATGACATTAAAAAAAGTGCTTTAGATAATTTAGGCAAAGAGACAGTTGGGGAAAATGTGCATAAATACAGGTGAGGGCAGAGTTACAGACCAAGGAGCAAAAAAATGCCAGCCACCCCTGTGTGGGACAGTTTTTCGCTGAAAATCCATGACTCTGGGAAGTGAAAGGTAAATAGTAGGTGTAGTTGGAAATGGGAGGGAAAGTGGATGGTCATACCCAGTAAATAGCAAAGTGTCAAGAAGGGCTAACATATTGCTAGATGTGTAGATGGAAAGACATGAGTAATAATGCATTATAATACTATTAAGTATAACATAATAATTAAATATAATTATTAAATAATTATAGTAATAATTATTTGCACTTAAATTTGGGGAGATGGACCTGATGCTGTAGGTCTGTGCCTTGTCTGTATACGTTTAGTGAGATGTGCTAATTTAGGGTATGTAAATGAGTCCCTGAAATGGGTCACTAGTGGAAATAATGCCATGCAGTGAGAGATGTAATGTGCCGTTACCTAATAGGGCTGAAATCACTTAATGGAATACTGCTGCTGGAAGGATGAAGTTGCACTCCCATCTCCTGTTAAAGCTAGCAAATACCTGGCTATACAGACATCCTCTTCAGCTCACTAATGAGACAGAAAACTATTCCCTGTTTTGGTTGGGCTGTAGTCTCTGTCATGTCAGTAAGTCCAGCCACCAGTCAAGGAAACGTAAGAGGTGATGTGGGGAGTGAGAGATTTGACTCTCGCAGCAAGCTGTTAGATCAGGCACTCGTGTAGATGTGTCATCACCTGATTCGGGTTGTGATCACTTCAGAAGTAATTCAGCAAATGAAGAGCTCTGGAACAGGCCAGCTGTAAGACTGTATTAGCCCTCACGCTAGCACAGAAGTAGGAGTGCAATTGCACACTGGGTGGGAGGAAGAGTCTGGGACTACCACTTCTGTTTGCAGTTTCACAGCCAAATGAAGGGCCTGTTACTTCTTCTCTGTGTTCCCTCCTCCTCCTCTGGCTCTTGGCTGATTCCACACAGAATTAGCATGGTGCTCTGTACACCCTCCCTCTTTCTCTCCTTTCCCCGTACTGAAGGAAGTAGTTTCCTGCCCAGGATGCATATATTAAGAAATCCTAGTTTGGTTTAAGAAACAGAAGAGAGGTAACTTGGCTGCACACTGTGCGCACAGAAGTACCTCGACAGGTAGGAATTATATTCTTACTGTCATAATCCTTTCAAAGAAAGATACATTAAGAGCCAATGGAAGTGGGAGCTAGACAAATCCAAGCAAAAATTTAAGTGTGCATTTAAGTGAAGGTGATTAGCTACTGTGCAAACAACGAAGGAAGAGATGGATCTCTTGTTAACATCATATGAAGACCAGAACCCTTATGGGAAGATGTATCTTAGTCAAATGCAAGCTGCAAATAGGAGGTTGAAAGAAACAGGTAAATTGTGATGATGTGTGTAAGTAGACAGTGGCATCTTCTTAAATTTTTTGATCCCTATTTTAAAGAGTGTACAGTATAAATTTGGATATAATGTATGAAATGAATGTATTGGACAAAGTACTTGAGAAAAGAAGCGTGTGTTGATTATATAGTTAGACTGTAGAGCAGTTTTGCTCTCTGGTGGTTTCACTACATTTGTGTGGACTTCTCTTATGTGGATGATACAACAGACAGACAAGGAAATTGAAATTAAAACAGGGAAGATGCCATGCCATTCATTTTATAATAAAGTTTAGAGCTTGGGCTTGACTGCAGATGGATGTCAGTATCTATTGATGCTCACTCAGGTTTTCCTGAATTGTTGTATGTGTGTGTGCACACATGCACGTGATTTTTTTTCTTCAGTTTTGAAAGGTCCCTTTCATATGGAAGCTGCCTTTGACTGTAAGAACAATCTCTAGAATGTTGTTTTGATTGTATAGTTTAAAGGGAAACTTGTTATAATCTAAATGTGGAAATATGACTATTCCAGAAGTCTGTATTAAAAATAAAACCAGATAATTCCATTTCACACAGGTCAAGTGTATGTTCTCTTAAGCTAAAATAAATAGGAAAAATCCTAGTGATAGGGTATTCCTTTTGCTGTGGAACAAGGACACTTCTAGATATATCCATGATATTTCACTTTTGTGAGACGTGTCTGAAGGTGAATTTCTGAGTTGAGGAAGGAAATTAGCTTTGTAATTTAGAGTAATGACCAATAATTTTGTCATATCAATTTAATCTGCACATGGTAATTAGACTTTTCAGGGCTCATTAGCAGCTGGTGTGTCACTATGTATTTATTGAAGGACTGTCAGCCGCTGTTTATTTTTTAATATTAATGGTTTGGAAAGAAGTTGGTGCTCTAGAAAGAATTGAGAAACAGGCCTGGCTTTGTGGATTTTTATCACCCTGCCAAGACCCTGCGCAACTTCCTCTCCCTGTTGCCTGCAGCAGAATACGGAAACCTGACTGCTGAAGGCCACTTCTGCAATTGCACTGGGGCAGGGGAGCAGGGTGGGAGGGGGATGTTTTCGTTCCACCTTGACATCTAAAGAAGAAAACAAGATGTGTTTGAAAATGTCTCTTCAGTTGTTTCTTGTACTGATGGGTTTCCTCCTCTTCTCTCTCTCTGCTGTCACGCAGTGCTGCAGTTGAAGCTCCAGCAGCGACGAACAAGGGAGGAGCTGGTGAGCCAAGGGATCATGCCGCGTAAGTGTCACTTAAATTCTTTTCTTGGTGATATATGCAGGTTTTTGAGTGGAGAATGGTTACATGTATGATCTGAAATATCAGATTCTCTGTTTCTGCATTAAAAACCTCACATATGAAGAGCCCCACCCTGGCCCACCCAACTTGGTCCTTCTGATGAGTTGGTACGCTAGGTATAGGGCCACCTCTGTTACTGAGGAAGAGAGTAATGGCCTCAAGTATAACTGTACTCCAAACCAATGTTTATATTTGATCACACTACACAAGATTCTTCTGGAGAACATACTATATTAGAAGTGCCTTATATACTTGACGCATGCTGGTAATCACTCTTTCATCAGGCTTCCTGCCTCTGCAGTTTCTGTTCTTGTTTGTCAGCTCCCCAGACCTCTGAGGCAGTTGAAACTTTGTACGTACATGTTCCATAGACCCACTGAAGACAGGCAGTGCATACAAGATATTAAGCAACAAGGGGTCCTGTTTCATGTTTGTAGGTAGAAAGAGCCCTGTGGACGTCAGCCATTCTCTTCAATAGGGAAAGGCAAAATCTGTGGAGCGAGAGAACTTCTGCTTTTTTGGATGGACACATCAGGATATACCCTAATGCCAAGCTTTAATGAATTTACTGTTGGGTTAGTGTTGGAGAAGGTATTTTTTTTGTTTTGTTCCTCTCCTTCCCCCCTAAAATGCAAAAAGATACCTGAGAAATAGTTTTTACATGCTTTGGTACCTCCAAGCTAGATGGCTTACAGGTAATGAATTTGAAGCAAATGCTTTATTTTTGAGGTCCTCTCAAGTGTCCCTTAACAGCTTTAGTAAAGGGCAATGGATCAGGGGTATGTTTTCTTCTTTCAAAAACTTCCCCCCCATTTCAGAAACCTTACTTGAAGATAGTGTAGTAATGAGGAGTTTCTCATTCGTTCTATTTCTGGGATGCACACTGTAATACGACACAGTGATGTGACTTAGATTTGCTAAAGGCGTTAAGGTTAGTCTGTCAGCTCGCTCTCTGAATGAAGAGAACCTGTCAGCAGCACTCTGCCAGCCGAAGTGGCTCACTGGACGGCAGTGACATGCTCAAGATGTTTTTGGGACCCCTACTTTAAATTCTATTACCAAATCAAAAAGGAAAGATTCTCCTATCTGGACATAGCACATCGTGCCTGTGTTCTTATTTTTACCTGGAGAACTCATATATGTGCTTCTACAGAACACATTTACTTGCTTTTGGATGAAAGACTGCTGTCCCAGTTACTGTGCCCTTTTACTAATGCTTCCCAGAAGAAAATGTTCCTGACTTCTTTGTGGTCTCCTGCTTTAGGTGGATATTTATGCAAATACTGTATTAACTTATGTTTGGTACTGGCTTTCTTCAAAGTGTGGTTGGTCAGACTTGTGATTCCTGAAAGGGGTCTGTTTTATGGGCCCTTTGAAAATGAGGCACTTGCAAGTAATGCAAGTAAGGCACCCAATTAGTAGTTCTTAAATTTGCTTAAAATATAGCTTAAATAACTAGTCTTTGCAGACTTGAGCCCTTCATTTATGTGTCTTACATGTGAATTTTATGACGGACCAAAGAAGAACACTTCATGAAATATTGTTGTGTAAATACTAGCAACACATGAAAAGGCCCTTTCTGCAATGGAGAAAAAACACCTTAGCAGATCTGTTCTAAATATAATTTAAAATTAGTTCCCTCCAAGTCATGGTATCATTTACCCATACTTGCCAACTGGAAATAACCACACATAGAGAAATATTTAAAACATTATTTGCCTGTGCCATTTTTAATGAGATAATCAGATGTGAGATAAATTGTGATACTAAAAGCAAAAGTCCCATTTTTAATATAAGTAGTACAGAGGATGTCTAGGGCCATGTTCCTCCTGAAGGTGTCTCAGAGCCGTGACAGCTGAAACCTTCTACTTTCAGCAGTTCAGAATAGATGTTTTTACTTACTCCTGGGAGTGTGCAGGTATCTTGTTTTCTTTCATCTCTCTGCCCTGTACCCCCTGTCTGCGAAAACATTTAGGTACTTAATCTTGTTCCTCTGTCATCTGCTACTAAACATGGCTATACTGGGCTCCATGTCTCCCTCTTTGTTAGTCAGGAACCAAGCCCCACATAGTCTTCTAGGATGATTTAACAAAACTTAAGAGTGGGAATCCAGAGGATGGTTTGGTGTTGAATTAAATGAACCAGAGTGCTCTTTCCATGTGAAATCTTTGTTGGCTCCTGGCCTTTATTTTCCATCTGGAGAGCCTTAACACTCTTTGAAAGAATTGTGGTGGTTGTGGTTGTATCTACATTAGCATTATAGCTTGTGTCAGGAAGGTGCTTTTGAAGTAAAACTCTTAATTGCATCTGCCTACTGTACCTTGCTTTGCACTATGAAATGAAGTTTGAGAGTTGGATTAAATTGAGATAAAAGTAAACTGGAAAATATTCTGCCTACAGCTAATATGCATTCAGTCCATGAGACCAGACTACAACTTGTCTGGCACCACACTTCAGCTTCACCACACTTCACCACACCACAGCTTACTGTGCTATCGTACGTGTTCATTTAGATTAGTCTTTAATACAGATTAGTTCTTGGATCTTATAGACAAACAGACGTGCAAAAATCCATGAACCAATTGTAGGAGAAGTAAAAGTTTTTGTTTTACATTTAAAGCTATCTAGTGTGCAAACTCACTTTGGTATGTTTGGTTCTCCTGACTGCAATATAAGTCTTACATGGTGTTTAGATTCTGCTTGGTGCCCTAAAAGAGAAATTATTTCAGGCTTCCATCAAAACAAGGTTTTTGGGCACTGTAAACCTGAGGAGTGGGAGAAGACACATTTATGTCACATTAAAGTGAGAGTGAGAGTCACACCACTCTTGCTTTGCCTGTTCAGAACAGAGCTGGGAATTGCTTACTTTGTTCTGTGTGGAATTTTGTTTATATGGTAGAGAGGAAAGGCAAATGTTTCAACATTTTTTTACCAAGTACACTTAATCTCGCTTGAATAACATTTCCAACCCACCAGCCACCTAGAGTAGGGCTATGCTTCACTAAAAGATTAGTGTAGTGTAGTAAAAATTAAAGCACTTATAAGCAGTGACAGAGTATTCAAAAGAATTGGCTTTTATGCTTCATTAATTCTTCTTGCTTTTCTCTTACCATTTTGTGTAACGTTTTGCTAGTATTCATTAGTTGAAGATTAAAATTCTCAATTGCCCATAGAAAAGAGGTGGAAAGCAAGTCTTCATCTGCATCTGACATACCTGTGGTTTGAGCTAGAAGGACTGTATCTAGAAAAAAGAATTGCATTTTCATATTTATTCAGATTTTGGCCTATTTTCTGCAAATAGACAAGGTTTTTTGCTGCTTAGATTTTTTTTTTGCAGCTATGTAGAGGTGATTTTCATCTTCTCATAAAATGAAAGCTAAACAAAATCTGTCTGTGCTCGACTCTTTGAATTCTGTCATGCTGTAGAAGAACAGTCAGATGCTGTCAGTTTTTAGTGTTGAATTTAAAGATTACAGCTATTGTAAGGTTTTTTGGGGAATATTAAGCACCCAGTTTTCCACCCTTGAGAAGAATGTTTAAAACAGTAGTTAATGTGCATCTGAGTAGAAAGATGCGTGAAAAGCATCTTCAACTAAAACAGCAAAAATTTTTAGGGGAAAGACATTTGGCAAATGTAGCAATACTCTGCTTTGCAAATATGTTGTGCTTTTTCTCTTGTGCAAGTTTAAAGCTTCATATGTCCATTGTTTTATCCATCAGGATTGTGATCTTTGGCTTCTGGCTGCAAACACAAAATATAGGCAAGCATGCAAGGTCATTTGGCACAGTCCTGCAAGAAAGCTGCTGTTGTGACCATCAGATTCACTTAAGCAGGCAAAATATAAGTTGAAAATAATTTCTGGGAATGTGCCTTTTGTTGCTCTATAGCACTTTGTGAATATCTGAAAGATGACACAGGCAGCCTTTGAAAAGGGCATCATCTGGACTGAAAGCTAAAAGAAGGTGGCTGCAGTACAAGAGAATTTCCAGGAGCTGCTTTTTTGCTTCAGTGTATCTGATGTTTGCCAGTTTTTGTGCCCACATCCAACTACCCTGACTGTATGTTTGTGTTCCAGGATGCAGTATATATGAACATATTTAGAATCCAAAAAGGGTGGAGTTTGTGCTGTTTTTCTAATGTGACTGTTTTTACAGGTGCTGAGCTGTTTCCACTCTATAGGTCTGTATTGCCAATGCTCTGATGCAGTTTTCTGCTTCGACATGCAGCCTGTTAGTTTCTTCAGCATATTTTAGAATACAGGATTTGTGAATCTTGTGCTGCTGGGTTTTAGACTTACCTGAGGAGTGTGTATTTTATTTCTGGACTACACCAGGGGAGCATGCTGTAGTTCAGTTGCAATATGTCACATGATTAGGAATGATTGTAATACAGCAGGCATTGTAATGATTGTAATCTCATTAGGCCTCTCAGTATCACTAGCTGTATTTTGTAGCCATAAGGTTAATGGAGAAAATTTAATATTTGTTATAAAACTAAAATACAGTATTTGCTTTTGGGGGGCTGTGAGACATCGCTTAGAATAAATTCTAAAGGAGTTGCCATTTACTGGGGACACTTAGTGATTTGAGGATACAGAACACAGGTTATGCTTTGGCATATCAATGTTGATCATCACTTAGGCAAATCTTATAACTGGTCTTCTGCATCCAGCACTGCTACCATCACAGGAGGTATTGATTTCAGGAAGCAAAATTTTTGCCACCTTTGAGTTTCTAAAGTTAAACCATGTCTCTAGACTTTAACATCTCAACCCCAAAATTTGGCCATACTTGTGTTTCTGTAGGGTAGTTAAAAATGGTATTGCTGCTTTAGCCTTCACCTGATAGTCTAAGCTCTTCTCAATTTTATAAAAATAATTTGGTTGATAAAGATTATGCACTTCCAACTTAATTGCATAGCTCTGTATTTAATCATGTTCATA